GCGGCCGCCGCCTCGCGCGCGGCGTCGGCCGCTTGGGCCTCTAGGGCGGGGTACTGCTGGACACACGCCCACAGGGCAGACACGACCAGCTCACTGCACAGCGAATCCCGCATCGTGCCGCCCCCTGTGCTGGCGGCGTGCGCCGCTGCGGCGTATGCTGCGAGGCAGCGCGCCGCCGCTGGTTGCGAGGGCCTGTCGGCGTCGGACAGCAGCAGCAGCGCCGCCAGGCGCGCCGGGATGCCCGCAGCAGCGATCGCGTCCTGCAAGCGGGTACAAGTGTCCACTTGAGTAGGTGCATGCTGGCATACATCGCCAGCAGCTTGGTATCAAGGGTTTCGCTGCTATAGGCCGCATGGTCTGCACGATTGCGCACCAGCGGCAGGTCTGCAGCACTGGCGAGAGCCTGCACCGCCGGAAGGCGCTGCGCCGGCTCCGGGGCGTTCAGGCCGGCAAGGCATGACTCTGGCGTGACTGGAGGTGGAGCTTCTCGCTTTGGTGCCATATTGTGCCCTTGGTTGTCAAGATCGTGATGCAAGCATGTTTGACGCGAAGTATCTCGCTTCCACACGTCTGGTCAGTTTGATGGATCGCATTTTCGAATACATTGACACAATTTTGCTGTATTGCGACTGGCCAGCCGTGCTGTGACCTAGCCTGCAGGCACGCAGCTGCGCTGTGCGTGCTGCGGCTGCGTCACGCGGCTGACTCCGCCGCGGATCAAGCAAGCAGGAGACTGCCTGCCAGCTGCAGTCCTGCGTCGCGATGCTCTTCGAAGGCATCAGCTGGAATTCCGGGCGTACATCGTTTGATTACTTTGCTTGCTGTCTGCATTGCAGCTCATTCAAATCATCAAATTGGCGGGTGACCAAGCTTTACTCGGGGCACAGCAGGCGCTGCCGACGCAGACGCCCCACGACATTCAGGCGGTGCAATCCAACCCCCCTCAGCCCGAGCAGTCGCTCCCCGCCGCCGTCGTGCGGCACGTGCGGAACAGATCTCCCTCGTCCTCGTCAGCATAGCTCGAGACCTCTGACTTGAGCCGAGACAGCAACGCGGCAAAGTCCACCGACCGCTGCTGCGCCGGGCCGAGCTGCGCGGGCTGCCCGCCGCCGTAACTCCCACCGCCGCCCTGCCGCCGGTCCCGCGTGTTGGCTGCCGCGGTGGCGGGCCGCGCGTGCGAGGCCTCCGCCGCGACTGCCAAGCTGCCGGTCGCGGCCCCGCTCGCGGCCGCAGTGCCTGCCGCCCTGCCGGCCGTCTGCGGCCTGGCCGCGGCACCGGCCCGCCCTCTGGCGCCGCAGCCAGAGTGTGCAGGCCCGAGACCCACGCCTGTCGCCCCCAGTAACGGGGCCGCCGCCGCTCGCCCCACGGCCTCCTCGCTGCTGCTGCACTCACGCGCCGCCGTCGCCGCCGCCGCCGCCGCTGCCGCCGCCACCGCTTGCGACCTGCCGGCGGCCGCCGGCTGCCGGGCAGGGGCTGGGGCTGGCGGGCCGACAGGCTCTGGGGGAGCGGCCCCGTTTGGGCTAGAGCCCTTGGGCAGGCTTGAAGGGGCCGCAGTCTGGGGACGGGTTGCTCCCTCGGCACCTGCACAGCCAAGCCATGGGTACAGATTTCAGCCAGGCCCTTGGCACTTTCACAATTGTCAAACACGGCATGTTATGCGCTGCAGTGGTTTGAGCAGCTGGCGAGTAGGGGTAAAGCACAAACCTTGCAGCCTGACGCCCCACCCACCGTGGTAGTGGGAGGCGAGCAGCTGCACAGTCGCCGGCACCTCCGCAGCCTGCGCCGCCTGCTGCGGGAGCAGGCTCGACGGCGGCGCGCTGCCCGGCCGCGCGGCGCCCTCCGCCCCAGCAAACTGCGCCGCAAACTGCAGGACCACCGGCGGCGCGGGCGGCCCGTCGGCAGGGGCGGGCTCGTCGGCCGGCCGAGGGTCCTGGGCGCGGTCGCGCTTGCCGCGCGCACCCTGCTCTTGTGTGCGGGCCCGCCCCTGCGGCTGCTGGTTGGCCTGAAGCGTCGCCTTGTGCTCCCAACCACCCTCCTCCTCCTCCTCCTCCGCCTCGTCCTCGTCCTCCTCCTCCTCCTGCTGCTGCTGCTTCTGCTGCTGGCGCGGCTGCTGCGGCTGCTGATGCGGCCGCTGATGCGGCTGCTGATGTAGTCTACCCTGGTAGTCCCGTTCAACATCGCTCGCGTCATAGCCCTGCAGCTCGGCCTCAGGCTCCCAGCAGTCTGCCTCCTCTTCCTCTTCCTCCTCCCCCAGCTCCTGTTCAAGCTTTTGCGCCCTGTCTGCCTGCGCAGGTAGATGCTGCCAACGGTCATCTAGGGGGTGGTCCTGGCACTGGTGTCGTTGCTGCTGCCACCGCCGCCATCGATCCGCGTCCAGCTGTTGCGCTGGCTGCTGCTGCTGCTGCTGCTGCTGCTGCGGCTGCTGCTTCTGTACCGCCTGCGGCGTGGCCTTGAGCCTGGCATGTCTATCCGCCAGGCGCTGGTAGCGGCGGGCCAAATCAACGATCTGCAGCTGCTGCAACTCCGCGAGCGCCTGCAGCTGGTGCGCATGGATCGGCCCCGCCTGCCCAGCGGCCCGTGCAGCTGGGCCCGTCCCTGAAACTGCCTCCGCCTGAGAGCTCCCATGTGCCCGCGCGGCCACCCCGTCCGGCTTATGCCGGGCACGCCTGCGCTGCAGCGCCTCTGATAGCCGCGCCAGCTGCGCCGCCGCAGCGTCTCGCTCTGCGGCCGTTTCCTGCAGCTGCGCGCGCGCCCGGCGCAGCTTCTCTCGCAGGCGACGCCGCTCCTCATGAGACGCCTCCAAAACCTGCTGTTGCTGCTGCTGCTGCTGCTGCTGCTGCTGCTGCTGCTGCTGCTGCTGCTGCTGCTGCTGCTGCTGCTGCTGCTGCTGCTGCTGCTGCTGCTGCTGCTGCTGCTGCTGCTGCTGCCGCACAGCGTCGGCATCCCTGCTCCTCCTCACATCGTGCTGCCCGCCGCTGACCTCAGCAGCCACCGCTGCCGCAGCCGCCACCGCCCGCCGGTCGCGCTTCAGAGCCGCGGCGCCCCCCACCGCCGCGGCCGCCGCCTCCGCCATCGCCGCGGCGGCCGCCTCGGCGTCCGCCATCTGCTGCTGCAGCAGCTCGACCTCCTGCGCGTGCGCGGCGGCCAGCGAGTGCAGCTGCTCGCGCGTGCGGCGCTGCAGGCGCTCGACCTTGGCGGACGCACGGGCGAGCTGTTCCCGGAGCTGGGCAGACTCTGCCAGTGCGTCGGCGGCGCGCCTGTAGGGTTGATGTGAGGGGGCGCGGAGTGCGTGCGCGCGTCAGCCAGCCATGCCGGAGGCTGACCGCACAGCCTGGATGGTATTGTGGAAGGAGGAGGGGGCAGTCTGCCCCAGCATTTGAATACTGTTCTGCCCCACCATTTGAATCCTGATCAAAGCCTTCGCTCGGCAGTACCGCCGGTGCACCCCGCCCACCTCTCGTGCTGCGCCGCATCCGCCTGCAGCGCGCGCACTGCGCCCGCCAGCTCCTCCGCCCGCCGCCGCAGCGCCTCCCTCTCCAGCGCCCCCTCCCGCGCCCGCGCCTCCCCCGCCGCCGCGCGCCGCTCCGCGCGCGCGCGCGCCGCGGCCAGCTCGTCCCGCAGCGCCGCATTGGCCTCCGCCAGCTGCTCCGCCTCGGCGCGCTCCTCACGCGCGAGCATCATCGCCGCTGCGGCCTCGGCGCGGCGCAACTCGCACTGCGACGCTGCTGCGCGGGCCGCGGCCAGCAGGCGGGCTTCTCGGTCTGCAAGCGCGGCGCTGCTGCGCCGCATGGAGTCGTCCAGGTCGCGCAGCCGCGCCTTGGCGGCGGCGCCCTCGCACGCCTGGACCCGTAAACGTGCGAGCTCGGGGCCGGGAAAGAGCGCGCCCGGGCGGGGGCCCGCGCCCGGGGGCGCGGCCGGCGGGGGCGGGGGCGCGCGGGGCGGCGAGCGCGGC